TCACTTAGCACACGCATCATTTGGATTAAAACTAAATCGTAAAAATAAGAAGCTGGATGACAGCATGCCCAGGAGACTATATGCTGTCATTAAGGCTAAGGGCTGCCTGACTAAGTATTGATAGTTGTGTAAATACTGTCATACTAACAGCTGTCTGAATAATTTTTGGTTGATTGTAATCTATTACATACCTTTCTATCAAAGTTATCCAACATTATCAAGCTGAATTTGTTCTGACAGTTTAACTTTGAGTTCTTGTCATTTTATTACAATTTTCTAAGCTATAGTGAATAAACTGTGATAATGTGAGAAATGTTGAAGGTGTCTGAATAAAGTTTGGTTTGACTGTATCTATTTGATAAATGAAGTTAACCAACTAACATTATACATACTCTTTTGGTTTCTGTACCCAATATTGAAAACATTTACAAATGCAATAAAAATATTGGTATCGGTACTCGGTAAAACCAAAAATAAAAGTAACGATATCGGGCAAGTACTGGAAAAAGTGGTATCGGTGCATCCCTAATCCATAGTAATGTTTCCTACAGTGAACAAGTCCATGGCCCTGTTGTCCTCTAGGGATGCAGCGATTAACCGGTTTCGCGATTAACCACGCTTTAAATCGTCACGGTTAATTAAACCGAGTGTTTCTGTTACACTGAACGGAACTGTTGCAGCTTGCGCAAAACAAACAAAGTTACACTAAAATGAATAGGCTACGTCGTATGGATGACAGTTGATTACAATATTTCAGTTTATTTCCATCATTAGTAACAGTTTCCCCTGTGGGACAAATACAGTTAATATTAGTCGTATATTAATAATAGGCTACTTCATTAACTTTGTTGTAGTATTATTCATAAGAAAAAAACAACAATATATATTTTTTCACCATGTTTCCAAATTCTCTACCCCAGGTCCAAAAGAAATGTAAAGAATGTACAAACTGAAAATATTAAATACTTTTGCGATCTATTTCCATTTGTTATTTTCAAAAGAGAAATACTGTCATGGATGCTTAGAGGTCACCTTTTTTTAATTCCAATGGGAGAGATGGACTTTTGTTTGTCTTTATTATTATTATTTTGTGCTGTATTGTTGGTTACGGTGTTATTTCTGTTTCAAAAGCCAGCAATAAATAACACTTTATTATCTAAAGAGTGTTCATGTGATTTTATACATTAGTAATGTTGGGAAGTGAATAAATGCATAATAATCGTCATAATCGTAAAACCGTGATTATTCCTCAGACAATAATCGTACCAACAAAATCTATAATCGTTGCATCCCTATTGTCCTCTCACATCAACATTTGTTTAGAACGGTTTTAGACTGTTTTCGCTTGTAAACTTTCCTGATTTAGACGAAATTACTTTTTCACTGGAGAATAACGGATTAATATTTTAGCCGAAAGCAATGGTTTAAAGTTATAAAAATTTCTCAATGACAGATTTGTTTATTACACATACAGCTTTTTCGCTTCCCAAGATGTTTTTGGGTGAACTACTCATTTAAGTTATCTTTGACTTTTTGTCAGGTTTTCATGCAATCATGCGCAACTTCTGTCTTTGACCATTTTGCTTGTTGGATGGTCCTGCTTAGAGATGGGCTTATGACCTTGTCCTGCTGCCCTGTTGTGTTTGTTTGTGTTATAGAAGAGGCTGACTCACTCTAACTAATGTTATGAAAGATGTAAGGTGAGTGTGAAGCGAGCTGTACACTACTGAGTCATTCAAGGTTTTATTTAGCACTTCATATTTCCTTTGAACTGTTTTGAGTCACTAATCTTATCCCCACCCAGTGGATTAGTCTGATTAGCAGCTCTGGGCAGGAGCGCTTTACATGCCTAGAAATCATCAGATACAGATGCTTAATCATGTTCTAGATTCAACAGACTCTCTTGTTTTCGTCGTTAGTCTTTCTCTAGTCGCTCTTCTGTAGTTGCCAAACAAAGTCCAAGCAAGAGAGAAAGCAGCTCCCTCGCTGAAAAGGCCCTTTATGTCCATCAGTATCACTGTGAGCTGCATGCCTTTTTGTTGGGCGTAGAGGTGGGGAGGGCCCAGTAAGGAATCATGAGTCATGGGCATTATGTTGAAAAGTTTGAGTCCGAGCTTAAAGGGAGGTGACGGCAGCACTGACAGGATGCACCATTACACCAGGGAGAGGAGATTTAGGCCTAGTCCACACATACATGTCTATTTTTTATAAACAGAGTTTTAAAACGATTGTTATTAAAAAAATCTCATCCACATGAAAATGCAAAAACGCGCTATGAAGCTCTGTCAAGATCATGCCAAACCAACAGGTGGCGATTATAACCCTAATGGTAAAGCCATGTTGACCAATCACAGACTCTCCTCATGTAAACAAAGGAGATAGCGGCTCACAATCTGACGTCAAACAAAGGAGATAACCGCGTGCACTCCGACATCACAAAGCAAAATCTACAAGTTTGATCAGCAGCAAAGAATCACTATTTAACACATCAGAGTATTTACACTGACACATTTAATTTGATCTGTCATCCAAAAAGCTTTGTTTAAATGTTTTACAGCAGAGCAGCTCTGCCTGAATGAGGAATTATGGGTAGCAAGGCTGCACGATATTCAAGAAAAATGTGATAACTTGTTAAATAATACGCTATTCAATATGCAATACGAAAGCAATAAAAAAAAATGATATTTAAACATATTTAAAAACTGAAAATTATATAACCAACATACTATTTTTCATATTCTCCAAATACAGCCAAAACCAATTTTTACAGCCAAAACAGATCTACAATTTCATTTAATCTTGATTGGCTGGTATTGTTAATAACGCGATTTTTAATTTTTTGCTATTACACGGTCACGTGACACGCGAGAGTAAAGAGGTGTGTTCGACTTGAAGATCGATCGGTGTATGACATCAAAGTACGGCGAGAGAAAGCATAAGGAGACGTCCGCGCTCTCTTATAGCTCTCGCAGTACTTTGATGACACACCGATCGAACTAAGCAGCGCTGCTTCAAGTCGAGCGCGGGCCATCAGCAGAAAAAGAAAAGAAATAAAACTGTAAACAGCCAAAGGATGTAACTTAGAATGGGAGATGGATCGGTTTGTGAAAGGGAAGAGAAAAGTCATAGATGAAGTCGCACAGACCCAGGCAGGTCCTGGTCATTCAAAAGCTAAATGCATAAAATATGACGAGGCGTATCTTGCTCTTGGCTTCACTACGCTACAGTTGTCGCGTCGCGCCGCATCAGCTCTACACTGGACGTTCGTTGCAAATCATTTTAACTTTGTGTCAGTACGTCATAAATAGAACAAGGCATCAGTTTAATGTCGCGCCGCATCCAGTGTACACAGTGTCACTGGTTATAATGGTTTCTACTGTATTTTGCCGCTCTCGTCCGGTGTAGACACTGTGTTTAATGTCGTTGGTGAGGAGGAAAGCCTGTGTGTGTCCTATGCCTTAGCGGACAGCATGAACCCCACACAAAATAAATAACAGAGAGAGAATAATAATAATAAGTTATTCTCTCGCTATGCTATTTTTCAATGTTTCAAGTGATGCAGGTGTTTTTTCCCCTGTAGGTTTTTTAAATTAAAAAACTATAAATTTTTCATAATGTTTAGTGAAATTATTTGGTTGTCTGAGGTGGAATGGGGATTTGGGAAAGGGGGGCAGATTTTTTTTATAGGTTTAAAGGGAGGCGCGACCAAAAAAGTTTGAGAACCACTGGTCTAAAATTAACAGACAGTGTTTAAAAAGTGCCGTGCACAAACATATGTTTATTACAGTGACTTTGAATTTCCCAAAGTAGTGTGGTAAAGCAACAGATTTGTTTTTATATTTCTGCAATCTACTTTAGTTTGTGTGATTTGTTACTGACTTTCATATTAATGTTTACACCAGGCTTATTTAAACATAATTATTACATTCTTACAAGGTTGGAAGTTCAACAAATCAGTCAATGTACTGTGATTGTAGTTGTTAAATAAAAATGCCATTCATATCAATTCATGCATCACCTAATTTCATCGTAACATATAGGCCTGGCCTACAGAAAAAAACATTTATGTTTAATCTATCTAATAGTGTGTTGAGCATATTATACAATGATTTATAGCTTGTCTTTGTTGAATAATACAGAACATAAAGAGCTTTAAAAAAAATAATTGCATATTAAATCGCAATATTGGTAAAAAAAAAAATCACAATTAGATTATTTTCCAAAATCGTTCAGCCCTAGCTGTATTTGATTAAAATATAGTAAAAACATTAATATTGTGAAATATTATTATTATATAATTTTATTATAAAATAATGGTTATCTATTTGGATATATTTTAAAGTGTAATTTATTCCTATGATGCAAAGCTGCATTTTCAGCATTATAACCAGTCTGAAATCATTTTAATATGCTGATTTGTTGCTCAAGAAACATTTCTTATTATCATCAATGTTGAAAACAGTTGTGCTGCTTAATAGTTTGGTAAGAAACCTTGGTACTTTTTTCCAGGACTCTTTGTTCAATAGAAAGTTTAAACTGATTTGAAATCTTATGTAACAATTTCTTTAAAAAACTAAATCTTGCTCAACCCAAACTTTTGAACTGTAGTATATGTATGTTGCAAAAAAAAAAAGTAGTATTACTGGTGAGATCAGCGGAAAAACATCCTTATTGCTGAGCCCTGTCTTTGATTTTGTCTGTGTGGGTGTTTTTCCCCCAATATGTAATTTAATGCTTTTTATTTTTCAGTTATTGAATTAACATAATTTGGGGCTTTAAAATGTGCCTAAAACAGCGCTATCATAGTAGCCATCTTTCTAATGAATTGCGAATTCTCTGTAATGCAAACTGAAGTGTTCAGCTGAGCTCCACAGCAGAGGTCACAGGAAAAACATGTGACTGCTGGAGTCAACAGATCTCTGGTAATGTGCACCAATATGATGCACAGAGCCAAAGCTTAAACATGGCCTCACTGTCTGTTTTCTTCTCTTGCTCTTTAGGTGTGGCCGAAACAGTCCTTCTGCTTTGAGGGAGAATTGCTCTCCTGTCTTTTCTCTCTCCTGATGCTTCCTTCTGCACTGTAAATTCATGATCACATGACTTTGGATATGGACGCAGTCCTGTCCGACTTTGTCCGTTCTACTGGAGCTGAACCCGGATTGGCCAGAGACCTGCTGGAGGGTGAGCAAAAACCATCCTGTTCCCCATTGTCCTCACTGATTTTATATATATATAATATATCAGTGGCGAGAGGTGATTTTTTTTTTTACGGGTATGCTGAGTGAGAAGACCCCCCCCCATCGGCTTTTAGGACACTCAAAAGGGATCACAGATGACAAATAAGAAACACCGTGGCAGGTGTCAATTTAAATGTATGCACATTTTCTACCTTATTTGTAAATGAAATTCATCTCCAATCCTTCTATCGTTTCAGGTTTATCCATTGTTATTCGAATGCAAGAAAAAAATAGCTGGTTTTCCAAGTAAAAACTGCCAAATAACGTTTACACATAGTTACGTTATGATAAGTAATCAGAGGGTGGGGAGACGGGGGGGATTCCCCCGGTCTATATCTCTCTGCATCTGCTAAATTATTATTTTTTTTCCCAGTGATAGGAGTTAAAACTCCCACCTGGGTGACACTACTCCAATAACAGACCATGCAAAATAC